TGACCGTACGTGCATCCATTACTGCCACACTATATTGAACTTTATCACATGAGGAATACAGGTCAATTCCGTAAACGTTGTGGTACCGTCCTTGATCCGGAAAATGATTATTTTGAATAATTTTGTCAGTTGTAATGTAAGCATTAATAACAGCAACTTTATTTTTCATGCATGATTTACTTCATTTGATATCTTAATCCTTCAAGCGCCGTGATCTAGACAAAATATATAAAATCATTGTTCCTAGCTACCGGGGTCCCATGCGACGCGCGAAGGCTTAATCATATTATTATAAAGTATTATTAAAATAATGTGTAATTAATAATATTGCGATTCTAAAGTAAATACTCCCTTACATAGACAATTAATAATTTACACAAGACAAAAATTGTTAGAAAGAAAGTTAATAATATTGTATTCGACTGTACTCAATGTAATGTATGTAGAAGTTTACAATCAAATTTAATGGTTTTCTAGGTCAAAAGTCAAGCAAAAATTGGACTGATATTGGGCACTATTTCAAGCACAATTTTTTGAGACGTAAATTGTACCTATAGCTCGTTCGATATTCGCGCACTGAGGTGAGTATGCTGGGCGTAGAACCTACGCCCAGCATACTCACTGAACGAAGCCTATAACTCCGAAGTTATTCGAGCACTGTTTTTTCTTTTTGGGCACCGTTTGGCACTATTTGGGAACTATTTTTTGAAGTATGAATTATGTTTGAAGCGTATACAGATTCTCCGGACGGAGGTGAGTATGCTGGGCGAAACCTTCGTCCAGCATACTCATCGAACTATGGCTATAACTTCGCAAGTACAAGAGCACTATTTTTTTCCTTTGGGCACTATTTAGCACTATTTCAGAACAGTTTTTTGACATTCATGAAATATCAGGATTCCATGGTGAGTATGCTGGACGAAGGGACACATCTATTGCTATTATTATCGTTTTAAGGTAAGTGGTTCAATCGTAATTCTACTAATATTGTAAATGCGACAGTTTGTATGATTGTCTGTTACTCCTTCACGTGGAAACGGCTGAAGAGATCGGGATGGAATTTGGAACAGGGGTAGGTTATGGTCTGGAATAACGCGGATGAATCCGCTGGCAGAAGCTAGTTCGACTATAAGTCTACTTCTAACTACACCTACCAGTTTCCGGTGAATAATTAATTTGTTTTGTACTTAACGATAACTAATTTCCCCAACTCTTACCAGGTGGAGGTCAATGGAAAATTTGTTTGCGAATTCAACCACCACATCCCGTTTGGTAAGATCACCCACATCATGGTGGAGGGAGACGTTACCATGGACGAAATCAGTTACGCGGGAGCAAACCCACCACAGGATCCGAACCTGGTAAACTACTTTTTTAACCGACTTCAAAACAAGAGGTTCTCAAGTTGACCTGTATGTATGTATTGACTGAACCTATTTTGGTCCAGTTTTCAGAAGTATTTGTTAAACTTTTGTGGGAGAGCCATGCTTCGGCACGAATGGGCCGGCTCGACCGGAGTGATACCACGGCCGAGCAGAAAACTATAGTGAAACAACGCTTGTGTTGTGTTTCGTCGTGTGAGTGAGGTTACACTTGTGACGCCTCTGGTGTTCCAGGTGTCCATGGGTGACGCCGATTGCTTACCATCAGGTGATCCGTTTACTCGTTTACCGGCTTAAGCCATAAAAAGGTGTAATATTAGTATAGTAATTTACCAATTTCATAAAGAGAGGGGGTTGAAGTCAGTTTGTTTACACGTAGTCTATCAAAAGCATTTATTTCAATTATAGTTCAGTACTTAATTTTTCCGAATTCTTTTGTTATGGAATAAGCCAGTAAACAAGCTGACGGGTCACCTGATGTCAAGCAATCAGCGCCGCTCGTTGACGCCCGGAACACTTTCTTTCTTTTTAAGGGGGAAAGTCGTCGAACGACTCTAAAAACCACCCCGTTCCTACTCCTGCACTTCAAGCCGGAGCCCCGGTTACCCGTTAAGTTCTCCGCGGCTTCGTATCGACATCAACCCTATTGGGTTCCATCCGTGGTGGTCTGATGGCTCTTTGAGACGCGCGCGGAACGTAACGCGCCGTATGCTCGGGTCTGGTTCTGGTCGGGCGGCGAGCCACCCATGCTCGCCGTCCGCAGGCCCGCGCCTACGGTAGCTGGAGATCGGCCACGCCCGCAACACTAGTGGCGTTACAAGTGCGTTACTGGCTTTATTAGGAATTTAAGGATTATTGCTTATTCGGAGGTTGGGGAAATTTGGGGGCAATTTTAAATGAAATTAGGCTTCCGGTAATCTCACTCACACGATGAAACACAAAACAAGCCACGCAAGTTGTATCACGTTATTTTTTGTTCTTCTCCTCTTATAATATCTTTTGATTCACTTCGTTGCGGGAACCAAGACAGACATTCATTCTACTGTAGATCCTGGCTTACAGGAGTTGCAGCGGTTTTAAGAGGTTGTGGCGGGCTTGTCCCATTAAAAAAAGTAGTTTCAGTTGGTTTCTGCCGGCCCTGCAGTGCCGAAGCATGGCAAGCGCACGCTCCCAATCTCTCGAGCAAACTGATCACCTGGGGGCTTACTCTGGAAACCAATTTCGATCTATCGACATTGGTATTGTGAAATTTCGTACTCTTGAGTTGCAACACTTGCGCCCATTGCATCCGTATTGCGTGGATATTAAATGAACTAAATGGTATTGAGTTTGTCTTTATATTCCGTACTCTGAATGCTATTTCAACAGCTACGGTAGGGGTTGTATAGTTTTGACATTGAATAATTATTAAGATTTTATTGGATTGAAATTGTATTGACATTGAGATTGGTTTCAAGAGTAAGCACCTATAAGGTAAGCAGCACCGACGCAGCACCGCATATGGACTACAACTGTTACCGGTGTGATGACTTTGCGTCACTCCTCATACAAATCCACCAATCATCGTTTGTAGGTTGCATGCATTTGTCAAATGACGCGTCGTGGTTATTAGGGCTTTCAATAACTGTTTTTCTTTTATATTTCCAGAAAGTACCATTCGTGGTTCCTATTCTAGGGTGTATGCAACCCGATCGCGTGATTAGAGTGAAGGGCACGACCCCTACTGGAGGAGAGAGGTATAACTTTAAATTCATATTAAGTACTAGCTGCACCCGCAACTTCGACTGTGTTTATCTAAAACAAGAGTATGCCTATGTTTGTTTTTAGGTTTTTGCAGTCGGTTTTTAATTATTTTTAGACTATTTTTAGATATGCACAAAAGTGGGTTTGGTTTCTTATCAGAACATTATGCAACCACGTCAGATAACCGACCACGAGGTTTTTTAGTTTTCTAGATAAACATTATTGTATGTTCAAAACATGAAGCACGAAGGTTTCCTTCCTTAAGAAGTAGGTACCATACTAGATATGTATAAAGCAACTTTGTTATATGGACGTCTTCATTAACACGTTAAACGCTATGGGGGCAACAGTGACCGACGTTAGCTGAGGATTTACTTTAACAGTTTACTATTGGCACTCAAAGGCTTAAATATTTATTTAATTTTGTATTTAATATCTATATTATGCCTCGTTGGCCGAACCTGCCTGCTGCCTCGTCAGCCGACTGGTTGCAAGTGCGACTGCCGGGCAAAGTATTACTGGGTTTTTTAAAAAAAATCTCAGTAGTAGCGGGGACTGGAAACGTGCCCGATATATGGCAATAAGATTGCCCCCCCTTACGTGGGACTCATAACATAAATAGTGGAAAGTGGGTGTTACATTGTACAATGGCATTGATGATGATGACTTTACGGCACCATTTTGTCCCCAGGTTCGCGATAAACCTCCAATGTGGTCCGAAACTGTATCCTGACGAAGACATAGCCTTCAGTTTTAGCCCTCGTTTCAACCAGGGGACTATAGTTCTCAACCATTTCGGTTGCTCGAAGTGGGGCCACGAGGTGACGCAGGCACCCTCGCCGCTCAGCAGTGGATCACCGTTCGAATTTTATATTTATTGCTATGAAAATTCTTTTAAGGTAAATTGTAAATATTAATATTATATACCTACAGTTGTCCCAGTGGTTAGGTGACCGGCTGACGTGCAACGTGTCGCTGGTTCGATTACCGCGTCTGTGTGTATGGCTTATTTGAGTAAATTAAGCATTATTAGCCCGGAGTCAGGAAGTTGTCAGTGTTTCACCCCCGTGCCTCGGAAAGCACGTAAAGCCGGTCTCTCTCTCCAGTCGTGTCAGTCTGTCGTCCCATCGTTCAGAGAGTGAGGGGACAGAGAGTGTACCTGTGTTTGCGCACACACTTATTCACTATAATATCTTCTCCGTACTGGGCTAGTCTAGTTAGACTTGCCACCATGATCGAAATCATTGAGGACGACTATGTAAAGGCAGCTAAATAGTTTGGTCTGGTTGAACAATAGTTACTGTCTCTGTGGGTACTGAATCAATATTTATTTTCTTACACGCATGTCAAATCACCGACTGCATGGTTGCTGCGGTGGCTGGGCAACTGGCTGCCGCGCTACGTGTATCTGGCTCGATACTCGCACGGAACAACTCTTTGTGTGGTCCACAGATTGTTGTTCCGGGTCTGTGTCTGTGTATGTGAACTTATATGTTTGTAAACGTACACACGACACTGTAGACAGTCCTAGTATTAGTCCTAGTCGGAAAAAATAGCTTCGCTGTCTGTACATACATACGTACATACATACATGTAGCTTTTTCTAAAGCTGAAGATTCGCCATCATGGCAGCCCGGAGGTTTAACTTGCCCGCTACTGATACATAGAAAGAAAGAAAGAAAGAAAGAAATGATACATGAGGGCGCGGTTTCGAAACCTACCAACGGCAAGTACCAATGTGACCTTTTCCGAGTTATATACACCGTTAACTCTGTTTCATTTTCATCCCGCGGCAGAACAACTTGCCATACTAAGACGTATAAAGTAAAAACAAAACAATAAAAACGTATTTTGTAGAAATACGCACATGAAACCCTAGATAGTGAATTTGTAGGCACTATTCGCATCGCACGTGCCACCCGACGAGAAATACCTCTTCGACAATTAATTACATGGCGTGACGTTTTGATAATGTACTATGAGTTCGTGCGCCTTCGAAGTTTGCTTCTTGCAATGGTTCACCAGTTGTTTTTATTTGTTTGTAAAACTATTGTATTACCGAGACAGAACCATTTTACTTCGGGACGAAAACGAAATAGATTTCAAGGTGCGTGTATATACTTTCTAAGATTATCTAGACACCACTGACAAACGGTGAAGGAAAACACGAGGAAACCTGGACTTATAATTTTTAATTATAAGTTTGAAGTCGCCAACCCGCATTGAGCAAGCGTGATGATTAATGCTCAAACCTTCTTCAGGGAGGAGAGGCCTTTGGCCAGCAGTGGGCACTGATGAGCTCATCAGTTGATAGTTGTTGATGATGATGATGATTAAAGAATCTCTTGGCTCTGAAGTACTTCATTTTGTATTGGATACTTCGTTTATAGTAATATCACTATCCCCCAGGTGTTGTTGAACGAACAACAAGTCTGCGAGTTTTCTCATCGGATCCCGATACAGAGAATCACTCACGTCATGGTGGACGGCGACGCCATGATATTCGAGTTGGACTACGATTCGCCTGAACACCCGGTAAGTTGTGACAACGTTCTTTATGGTAGGGCGGCCAGCGAGCAGACGGACCACCTGATGGTAAGCAATTGGTGTCACCCATGGACATTCGCAACACTAGAGGAGTTAGGTACAAGCACATTACCGTCCTTGGGGCAAGGTAATGGCGGCTACTGTATTATTGGTCACCGTACGACGCTAGTTATGTCTATAAAGTTAACTAGCGACCCGCCCCGGCTTCGCACGGGTGCAATACGCATGTAATATACATATAAACCTTCCTTGAAAATCACTCTATATATTAAAAAAAACCGCATCAAAATCTGTTGCGTAGTTTTAAAGATAGAATTATACATAGGGACAGACAGACGGTGGATAACGACTTTGTTTTATACTATGTAGTAATTATACAATTGACATGTTTCAGTGTGGACCACCACCATCTTCCGGCTCCGGAGAAATTTCAGGTAAGTGTATTTAAAGTATACGTATTAGATGTCATAGAGGTCTCTGCACACAGCGGGCGCGGCGCGGCGGGACGGGACGGCGACGCGACACTGAGCAGTTGTAATGTACTAGATGTTACGGACGACGCCACATAGAGCCGTCGGTTACCGTCGCGTCGAGCGGGACGGAACTGGTGCAGAGACCTTTAGGCCGCGTTACCGTGAGATAAAAAGCAGCCTATATGTTGTGTAAGGCTCACCCCCTATTACATGGGACTCATAACATAAATAGTGAAAAGTGGGTGTTACATTGTACAGTGGCATTAGGTGCCGTGGCGTAATGTGTACCTCTGCCTACCCCTTCGAGGATAAAAGGCTTGTTGTTATGTTATGTATTATAAGTATGTATGAAGTTAATTTTGTTTTAGTTGTCTACTTCTTTTTTATTTACTTTTTAATTATAGTTAATTTTATGGTGTACTGCAGCTTCTGCCCGCGACTTTGTACGCGCAATCCCATTTTGCCCCCGTTCCCGTTCGTGATTTTCGGTAAAAAGTAAAAAAAAGTATTCTATAAAAAGTTCTTCTATGTCCGTCTCCTGGTTCTAAGCTACCTCCCTGCCAATTTTCATCTAAATCGATTGAGGCGTTCTTGAGTTAGAAATAGTGTAACTAACACGACTTTCTTTTATATATATAGATATTTATTCATAATTGTGTTAATTAAGTTAGTATTCAATTAAAAATATTGTTTTGTTTCCAGGTCCCTATTAAATTCCGAAGAGATGCTGGAAATATCTGATTTATACAAGAATGACACTGTACTGGCTTAATGTAACCTTATTTGTTTTGTTTTATGCTCGTTTTGTCATTTTGATGTTTAATATTAAAATATTTGAGGCTTCTTTGATGTTTCTTTTATTCCCCCAGGTGGCGTATTATGGCGTCTTATAGCCCAGAATGGTTCTGCTGAGGGAACGAGATCTCGCTAGACAACTTGTATAGCTCTGTTTCTTTCCCTCAATGGAACCATTCGCACTTTAGGACGTCATAATAACCCCGCTGAACCCATAACATCACGCCTTTTATCCCCGAAAGGGTAGGCAGAGGTGCACATTACGGCACTTAATGCTACTGTAATGTAACACCCACTTTTCACGATTTATATTATGAGTCCCATGTAATAGGGGGTGAGCCTATTGCCATAAACCGGGCACAGTTCCAGACTCCGTGCTACCACTGAGAAAAACCCAGTAATACTCTGCCCGACCCGGGAATCGAACCCGAGACCCCTTGCCCGGCAGTCGCACTTGCGACCACTCGGCCAATGAGGCAATCCCGCTGAACCCAATACGGTATAATAGCCGGTATACATTATGTTAAGATTTATTTTATAACTAGCTTCTGCCAGCGGCTTCGCCCGCGTTGCTAGTGTTAAAAAGTAGCCTATGTATTAATTCAAGCCATAATCCAATAATAGTTTTGATGTGACTGCGTAACAAACATTCACACAGAATCACACATTTTCACATTAATAATATCGGTTCAAGCTGATTTCAACCACCGGCCCTACAGTTAAAGCGTAAATTCCATTGTGGGCAACCTAACATACGACAAACTTAAAAGAATCGATCTTCTCGTTGATATTCTCACTATAAACCACAACTCGCCAGTCAATAAGGTCCACAACTCGCCGCAACGCTTCCAAATCCAATCGCTTATAGCTACGCAGATTCACGAATTGGGATCCTCGTTTCGCGGCAAGATAAGTAAATAAGGTTATCTAAACATCAAGTAATTGACATATAAGAAACCCGCAATTCAGAGAACAAGTGTTCCGATATTCGTCCAGAGATGGCGCTTTTTATTAGTGATCGTTTTCTGAATCGCGGTGTTAAGATTCTCCGCCAATAGGTATAAGTGTCTGAAGAAATTATTAGTTGTTGGTATCAATTCTGTCACGTGCTATTGTATCATATTATTCATTTGGTACAATAATTCGGAATACATGACGTGATTGGTAACCACTACCTAGTACTTTTATTTAAATCAACCCCCAGCTTAACCTTCACGATACCGAGGGTTGTCCAAAGGTCGTCTACGTAGTTAGGAGATGACACGATTATGAGGTCGAGCCAAGACGGAGGGGAGTTGGGAGAATTAAGCGAAGTCTTAAGGGATGTGAGTCTGCGAACATGTGTTAAAAACTCCCATGTCTATAACATGTTTATAATCAAGACATAGGGTATTGAGGTGAGCGTCGAGATTAGGACTGTACAGAACGGCGTCCAAGATCTTATTATAGTTAATCGAGATGTCAACAAACATAAACTCAGCTGACTCCGAGACTAGATTTGGACACTTTAATGACACGAAAAGGTAGGTCGAAGCGAAGGTACATAGCAACCCCCTCCCCTTTGCCAGTTCTATCATTGCGCACCGACACAAAACCCGGAATGGAATGGTGCGCAGAGAGAAGCGAAGGCTTGAGGAATGACTCTGAAATCAGTACAATGTCGAGATGAGGGAAATAAAGGTTGACTGGTAGAGAATGTCATATGGCATTAAGTTCGCCTTATGTGCCTCATCAAATTGTGTAAATTAAAGACTAAATAAATAAATAAATGAGCATTACTAAAGGACGCCAGAAGATGAGAATAATGGCTAGGAAAACTCTGAGCATTAATGTGAGCGATGTTTAGTAATTCACAAAACTTCGTAATAAATGGAATTATAGTAGGAAATAGCGAAGTTTCGGACAAAACTTCGTTTCGGCGATTCAGAGTAGGCTTACAGTTCTTGTGCACGACGACATCGCTAAGTCGCGAGCCGCCCTCGACGTGTCGTAAACTTGTTGAAACCATGTCGAAAAGGCAAGTTCAGACACGAACATCAAAGGCGTGCGGCGGCATTCCTTTGTTCCGCGCCGCCGCTGCTTGGTTTGAACTTGCCTTTGAGCATGTACAAACATGACTCAACGTCGCAGAGCGGCCGAGCCGCGAGCTCAAATCGACAGGAATTATCCTGTCCGCGCGCCTCGCATACAAAAGGACTGTACCCGGCGAGGCGCATTCATTGTCAATTCATCAGAGCGTCAGAACAGTGTGTGTAGTTATTATATAAAGTCGATTGTAATTCGTAATATTGTGAATCTCCACTAGTGTTAACATTATCGTAATTAAATTATATCAGTGTACAAGAGTCTCTCCAGTTTTCATTTCTACAGTCCATTTGCTCTCCAAAACCACCAAGCTCGTCGAGGACAGATCCACAGCTTGATCCCTCCGAGCCCGTACA